TAGTGTATTTTCGTAAATTCTTCGCCAAGAATGAAGGTTTTTTTCCCCGAGTCGTAAAATTTTAAAACGGTACGTGTGGATCGCGTCGCGAGTGTGCTTGAGTTTGTGCGAATAGAGTGTGAAGAGAGAATCGGCGATAAGCAAGTGGTCTTCGTGGCCGAGCTCGGGCTGCTTCTGAGAATTGAACGAGTCGAGGGTAAGCTTGAATTTCTTGGAATCACAATTGTTATGTCTTCGTTGCTGTTAGTCTTCGACTTTTCACGTTTTTCGATCAAGATAAATTTTCTGCGGCACTTCTCGTAATATATTTTCTAAACCAAATAAATTTTACGATTATATGTATAATTATACAATTATTTATATATAATTATATATAACAAATTTTTACCGGGTTTCCGTACTGACATATAATCTCGAAAGCTTTATAAAATCTTTAGTATTTTTTTTATTACGTTTCGCGCAACATCTGTATCGGAAAACTTGTCAGAAATTGAACGAAATATGTACAGATCTCTCGGGTGGGCTATAAACTTTGAATACTATATTCTAAATATATTCCGAGGGTATGATAAATAATCTACGCTCTTCAAACGTCTATAATACTGTTCCGCTTCTTCTCGACGTCCACGGAATCTAAATCGTTGCCGAGGCTGCCGACTCGACCTCTCAATCCTCCACCGCCGACTTGACCGGTCGCTTTGAGCTTCTCTTGCATCTGCGCCAGAATGTCTCGCATTCTTCGTATCTGCGAATCGCGAATCGTCAGTTGATACAGTGCGATTGATATTTAGGAAAATCATTTTTGTCAAAATTAAATTGGAACAGGGTTGGGTAATTTTCAAATGGAAAGGATTGCAACGTTCAAATTAAATAAAATTTTTTAAAATAAGTTGCACTGTGAAAAAAATTTATTAACTTGACTAAACCTTTTAACTAAATATTATTTTGTTAATTGAACATATACAAATATTTAAATTAAATATAAGATATTAAATCTATAACAAAACATATATTAGTATTTAAGTCAAATATGTATTTCGTGTTAGACTTAATATATTATATTTAATTTAAACATTTGTATATGTTCAATTAACAACGTAATATATATTTAGTTGAAAGGTTTATAGTCAAGTTAACACATTTTTTTTAGTGTGGCTTTTATTAATCTTGCGTATACTTGAAAATGTTTTTTTTTATTATATATTATTATTAAATTATATCAGGGTCTGGTAAGTTCATGATTTTTTAAACTAAGTTAATTTAAAGTTAGTTGCTTATAAAATTAATTTAATTAAGTTGTCTGAAATAAAAATTAACTCATTGTCAGTTAGAGTGAAGTTAAAATTAAATTAACTGAAATTAAATCAAAAGTTTTTCAAAACATTATTTATATTAAATTAGAATTTTGTTTGTTGATATTTTTAAAATTTATAATAACAAATAAAGAAATTTTGATTTTGATATAGAAATATATTTTTCTTGTAATTATAATTGTGTGTGTGTGTGTGTGTGTGTGTGTGTGTGTGTGTGTGTGATGACAAATGAACAAAAATTAATGATACTTTAATTTAAAAATACATTTATAACTTACAAAAACCAATAATGATATTCAGAGATTAAAAAATTAACTTGGGAAAAAAGTTAATAAGTTTAGGTCAAAAATAATTAGTTCAAGTTAAAAATTGATACATTTTACATTAATTAAGCTATGTTTAAAGTTATTAACTATTTAACTTTTTTTAAACTTTTAACTTATTATTACTCAACCATGAATTGGAAATATATTTTCTTTAATTGTTCACTGAAAAAATTGGTTAACTTGACTAAATCTTTCAACAAAATATTATTTTGTTAATTGACCACATAGACATATTTAAAATAAATATAACATTGATATAAATCTAACAAAACGTAAATTTTATTTAAATAGTAATATATGTTTAATTAACAAAATAGTAATTTAGTTGAAAGGTTTAGTCAAATTAATAAATTTCTTTCTAGTGTATAAATGACAAATTTTGAAAATTATTTTTAATTATACAGGATATTAAAAACTTATATCGACACATGGAGAAAGAAGACTTCAAAATTAACATTTTTTATTAATACTAATTTTCTCTATAATGTTAAATTTTAATAGGTACTACATATGAAATACGAATTTGTGACTTTTTAGTTTATCATCTGTAATAAAGTTATTGGAGGAATTTTTGACCATTTACTGTGTGTGTGTAAAAAGAGAGAATTATTTTTATGCATTTGTTGAACATATATTAATATTTAAATCAAATACACGTTTTTTATATTTAATGTTACATTTCATTTGAATATGTTTAATTAACAAAATTTTTAGTTGAACGGTTTAGTCAAGTTAACAATTTTTTTTATAAATATAAAACTCAGTATAAATAAACATATCGTAGAGAAAAATAGTATTAACCAAAAATTTTGAAGTCTTTTTTTCGATTTATCGGTCTAATTTTTTAATATCCTGTGTAATTAATTATATAAATAATTATATATTGTAATTAAATAAACTAATAATATCGTTCCTACCTCTTTGTCCTTCTGTAAAAAAAGTCTGTCAGTATCGGATATACTGTTCTCGAAATGCGGTCCGGAATCTCTCTTCAATTTACTATTAAGAGAAAAAACAACAAGCGTATTTATCCTCGATTCTCCGAAAAGAGACTGTAAAGATTAGCAAATGCAATTAAAGCATAAGTGACAGGAAGAAAATATATCATGCACTCTTTGACTATAGAAAATATCTATTTTACATTATTCAATTTTTCTTGAAAGGATTAATGCAAAACTAATTTTCGATTTAATTACCATACGTCAGAATAATCGTACAGACTATGCGAACTCAACGCGGATGTTTGTGAATAAATCTCAATTCTAGATTTTAGTTCCTATGTTTCCGTCTGATTCCCTTAAGAAAATGTAGAAAAGCAAAATATATCGATCCAGAAGTTGCTGAATCGAGAACTTAGGAATTAAAATAGAGATTCTAAAATTGAGAACCAAGTTGAGATTTATTCCTAAATAATCTTATTGTTAGCACTATGCAAATTCCGTGCTTCGTGCACAATTATAAGACATAGGGGAAAAATTAATTTTTATTATTTAAAACACAAACCTTCGCCTTCGGCTCGCATACCCTTGTTTATTTCGAGACTAACTTTCTTATTCATTAAGTATATTTGTTCATTTATTTTTCAAAAGTTTATATTATTCACTAAAAAAAAACTAAATAATAATATTTATATTTATCGGTTTTTCACTTATTCTTTGGTAGCTCTTGGAGAGGTGCAGAGATATTATGAAATTGAAATAAATATCATTAATTTAAAAGAATTATTTATCTTATTAAATTTGTCGCAAATCTTGCGTTTCAGAATGACCTTAAATGTGTTTTATAACCAAGTGTGGAGTATATTTGCTGTTCTAAGCAGGTGTGTTTCAATTGTTTTTTTATATTTTCAGATATATAAAATATTTTGGTGTAAGTCTTTGTACAATTATCTGATTTTAATATATTTTCTGATATAGAATAAGAAGGCCGCACACTTGAAACATTATGTATAAATTTCTATATGCTTTATTTTATATGATATATCACAGATGTATCGATAGATAATAGGATGAAATTTTTATCACAGATATCGCATGCTTCACATTGTTTGTTATACCTTTAAAAAAATGCCACATCCATCGAAGAGATCCTCTGCATAAATGATACGATGAAAACATTCTTCGTTAATAGTTATGTTAAACTTTGTTATGATTTTTATTCCATTAAATTTATGTTCTTCCTAGATTGTCAACGATTGTCGAACGAAATTAGTTAAAATATTTCACATCATGATAAATGCGCCACATAATAAAATCAAAGAATAAATTTATAAATTTAAAAAATACAGCACAGACATTTAAATGAATGTTCAGATTTTTAATTTCAATTTAATTAAATTTATTTAAACTTAATCCAATTTATAAATACATATTTTGTACGAATTATTAGTATCGTTACGACATTATTTATACTATGAAATATATTTCAATCTTTCTTCCCTCTCTTTCTGTTTATTTTTCATTCTTTTTAATAAATAATGTGTAAATTTTAAGAATTTCAACAATTTTATGTAATTTACTCGCGCGTATATACGGGGTGTAAACTATTATATAATGTGATGTAGAGGATTGTATATTGTTTAAATCGCTCGATCACTGAAGAAACATATTTGTAAAATTAATAAATTTATTTTTGAAAAATAAAATACAAGATGAGTGTCCTAACAGAAGTTTCAAAGAAACGGAAATTAAAGTGTTACATTTTAATGACATTAAATGTGTTCTGTGCTCAAATGCGGAGTACATTTGCTGTCTCATGACTAAGCATGTGTTTCTCAATTATGTATTTTTTATTTTTTCATATATATAAAAAATTTTGGTATAAGTCTTTGTACAATTACCACATTTAATAAATTTTAATATATAGTTAACGTTGTTCGTTATATTTCTTAAAATAATGCCTCATCCATTGAAGAGATTTCTACATAAAAGGAAGATATAACTTGTTGGAATTAGTCAAATTTTAAAGTCTTGCTTGAATCTTGCACGAATTTTCAAAATCTGCAATTATCATACAATATGTCATACAAAATTAATATCATTAATACGTTTTTATTGTCTCCTTCAACACAAAAGTATTATATATATTTCAAAATATAATAATCACTGTCTTTTATTAATATACCTGTTTTTACTTATACAAATGCAACACTATCGTTTATAAAAGTTTCAAAATATTAGATATTAATAAATGGTAAATTTTAATTAGGTCATATTTTTCATATACTTAAAGTAATAAAAAGAAGTTCATAAATCAATTAATTTTTATAAATTTTAAATATATAAATTTACTGCACTAAGTCAAATTCTTGCAATCACAATTTTTCTTATTTTATTGTTTATATTAATAAATACAATAAATATAGCAGAGAACGATAAATACATTTTATTCGTCGTTGATATTCAATTGACATTGCATACAAAAATAGGGCATGGTATTTATCTACAAAAGTCGAAAATATATATGTATATACATGTATATGCGTCAATATAACATCTGTCTATTATGTTGGTCTATGCAACTACGGCATATTTTACGTTTTTATTTATTTGTTCTACTATTTAAAACGAAATCTAAAACATAAACTGTAAAATTTGTACTTTAATTGATTTTTTTTATGAATAAATGTCTCAATAAACACTTAACCACGTTAAATTATAAAAAATTGTAAATTATACATATTGTTATCTAAAAGAAATTCACAAAGTTCAATATTTTTACAATTGTATATATATTATATATTAATATGCGATTGTTAGTGCGCGTATGTTCTTTACATATTACAATTAATTCGGATTAATCGCAAAGCTTTTATTTTATGTTCCGCTATAAAATCTACAACGGTATTTTTTGTTAAACCAACATCTAAAAAATTAATTAAACATGGATAAAGATAACATGTAAACAAAGATCTAATTATAAATTAAAAAATAAGAGATTCTACATTTCTCTTCTTTCTATATACATATAGTGAATAAATGTCTTACTAAACACTTAAACACGTTAAATTATAGAAAATTGTAAATTATACATAATTGTTATCTGAAAATATCTCACAATGCTCTTTATTTTACGATGATATATTCACTTTGACTAATCCCAAATCGATAATTGTATGTCCGCTTATAATCATTTCAACAAAAGATTTTATCGTATCCAACATCTAAAAAAGTTATTAAACATGAATAAAGATTAAATGTATACAAGGATCTAATTATAAATTAAGAAATGAGAGATGTACATTTTTCTTCTTTCTATATACACATATAATGTAATTTATTAATTCCTTGTCAATTTACAAGCATATTTATAACTTAAAATTAATAGAAATAATAAATAAGTTTCAACCTCTTCAGTTCCCGTTTCGGTGACGTGACGAAGTATTTCAATACACCTGTAATATGGTAGATAATCACAAAGACAATTCGGGTACTTATCGTCTACTATGTTAAAACATCTTGCATTTTCTAAATTATTCGTGACGCTGTAAACAATTAAAATATTACCTTAATCATATGAAAATTTTTATAATAAAAAATTATATATGTATGCGTATAATAAAAAAAGAAAGATAATCGAAAAATAATGATAATGTCGAATCTAATATATATCTATACTTACAATTCTGGTTTCCAAAATATACAGCAGCAAGACCAAATATCTATTAGATCGCAACGTAGACCAAGTTTTCTAGCCACGCTATGAAATATTGTATATAAAATGATATCTGGACCAACTTTACTTTGTAAAACCTGTGCCAGGTATAATACAGAATAAATTAATCAAGGCGAGAGAATATTAAAAACAACATATAACGTATACATATATGGCCCATAATTATATATATTATAATCTATAATAACTTACATAATCTATACACAACCATTTGATATCTTCGGGTACATATGAGGAGATATGTGCTCGAAAGTTCAAGATGCCAAATATATATTCCTGAAGTGTATCCATAATCTGCGTACTCTCTGTTTTGTCCCAATGATTATCTTCGATATTGTTGGTTTTCCAATAAGAAAAAGTTTCTTCAGACGTGGAGAATATCGAATGGTTCGGATGCTTCTCTCTTAGACGATTCAGTACCTCTTGTGCGATTGTATCCAATGATGCACTTACATTCGTGTAACATACATCTTTTCGAGGTTGAATTTGTTGTGCTATGAAAGTACATGTTTCTTCCAAAAGCTGTTCTCTTTCAGGTTTATCTCTATATCTGTCCAACTCATTTCGTATCGACGATAGCTTCTCATAGTGAGACATTTCTATATTGCAAAATTTTTGGATTGAATTGCGATCTCTAAAAAATGTATATTGAAGCATTAACTAATGATTAAATACATTAAAATGTAATAATAGTAGCATTATAATATATATGAAGATCCTACTGTGGAAAATGTGTTAACAAGTATTTAATCTCCTCAATATAAAACATATATTTCAGCTCATCTATAGGCTCATGTATACGTTCAAAATTAATTTCATTTTCTATCAATAAATCTACATAATCATCGATATTACCACTGAATTCTCTTGCAAAATTTTGCAATTTCAATACATTTTCAATTGAGTTTTCGAAGTAATTTTGATTCGATCCATTATTGTAATAATAATCATAAAAAAGAATTTGAGACAAATAATTTCGCACATGTGTCGCAGAATTTATGCCTATTGTAACAAAGTTTATGTATTTTTTCTTTTTTTTTCCGTAAGACTTTCATATCTTTTCTTCGCATAGGGCCATCTAAAATACGACCATAAATTATTGTAATAAATTTTTGATAATGATACTTAGTGTTGTGTCAAGATTAATTTATAAATTAGCTGGATAAAGCTGAGATAAAAGTATGTAAATTAATCTTAGATAGGATAAAAATGATTTTGCTTTAAGTATATTTAGATAAAAGATATAATTATGACGATTTATTTAGATGATCGTGTAGATAATAATATTTAAGACTGCTTATGTAAACACAGTTATACAAGAAATATAAGTTACGAAAAAGATACAACAATATATATATTCATATTTTTATCGCTTTCTTGTTTACTTTAAGTATTTCAATGTGCTATGATTCTAAATCAAAGTTATCTGAAAATTATTTTAAATAAATAATATAGTAAATGTAGTACTTTTTTGTATTTATTTGTAAGATGCAGATATAAAGATAATACATATTTTTATTATTTATATGTAGATAAGATAACGCCATAGTTCTTCCATTTAAGTTTATTTAGATAACACACAGCAAACTTTGATGATAGTAAACAATGTGATTGCACAAGTAATTTTTCAAATTAATAAATTTTTAAAAGTATACAATTCGAAGCATGAGTATATATATGTCACTTTTTTTTATACTTTAATCAGAAAAAGAAGATATATAATAGTCAATTTTAATTTGTAATTTAATTCATATTCTCTCTGCTCTCTCTCTTTTCAAATTTTGATTCCAATATGTATATTGCATAATTCTATAAGTTTATTCTATATGCAATTAATAAACATTAATGTGCTTATGTGTATGTATATTTAGATTAAGTTTTTTTTTTAATATTTTGTAGAACAATATTTTCGAAAGCAACATATTTACAAACAATGTCGACGGTGTTTATATGTATATGTCACTTGGCATGTTTTTACTTTTATAAAAATTTTTTGTAATTTCAATGTCATTTATAAAAAGAACCGATAGAACAATGTCAAATGTGTTTGCTTCTATCACAAATATATATCATTAATATAATTTTTATATTTAAAAATGCAATTAAATATATTGAACAATACACATTATAATAAATAAATCAAGTCACTTTTACGTTGCATTTTTAATAATTAAATCTAAAAAAAAATATTTAATGACTGAATATTTTTCGACCGATATGCATATAAACTAATTAATATTTATTTAATTAATTACACAACGTTTCATATAATTTTAGACCTTCTCAAGTGTTACTGTTGTTGTGTGCCTCGGGAGAGACACTTAAGGGTCGCGCCAAATTGGGATGGGAATCCGGGGCGTCAGGACTTGTCGGGTGTTTGTAGAAAATGCACTACACTTTTTGTATTAAAATTCTTTATTCAACTTCAACCACTTGGTCTTTATTTTATTTCACTATTAATACACTGAAGCTTTATCGTGTGTGCGGCACTGACTTTCTATTACTCCGCGTATCGCGCACAACTGCGAGTCGATGCTAAGTGCGCGCGCGGTTAGCGAGATCGTGGTTAGAGCGATTATTTGTGTCTGCGACTGAGCGAGCTGTCGCGTCTCTACTCTCTTTTTATATCGTTGTTTTTTGGAGTTTTCCCGATCGGAAGGGGTGCCTGGCAACAGGTTTCCCCGGTCGAGAATCTAGGTGCAAGCGAAGCAGATTCAAAGTCCTTCTGCTTTGCTTGCACGTTGACCAATTTCTGTTCCGCGTATATCTCGCATTGTATGCGTTTTTAACGCGGTCATTATCTGTCGTAATTCTGATTTCGCGTATACCTCGCATCGTATGCGTTTTTAACGCGGTCAGTGTCTGTCGTAATTGCGGATGCAATACGAGTACCCATTTCTTAATATTAGTTAACTTTTAATAGTTATATCTATTGTATATCTTTGGGGGATATAACACTGTTAAGTTTGCAAAGGACCAAAATTATATGGTCGAAACACCGTGGTCAAAACATTGTGTGATTAATTAAATAAACATCAATTGACGAATGTCGGTTGAAAAATATTTGGTTTATTAATTTATGACAGTCGAAAATTAAGAATTCTTCTCAGTATATTATATTTAACGTTTACATTCCATATATATATATATATATATATATGTATATGTATATGTATATTATATATGAATATATATAACGGTAGAGTTTGCCAAAATTATTGAGCAATAGAAAAAATGAAAGCGAATAATTTAATATGCAACATAAATGCAACATACCTAATTTTTCTAATATTTTGTATTTATTACATATTTATAATAAACGTTCTTCGCAGAAGTGATAATCATTATGCGACAAGCGTTAATGAGACGAAATAACAAAAAGATTTACAACCCACAAGAATTACCTTTGAGATAACTTTTTTTCCAAGAACTTGTTATATGTGGTTGCTGCATAACGAAATTGCTGGCACACGCATCGAAAGTTAATGATATCCTCAATAGTGATAACATTATATCCGAGAATGATGGTTATTATCTCCTCTGGTAAGCACGTTATCTTATAATCAGACATTATAAGAAACAAAACACAAAAAGGAATATAAATTAAAGTGATTGCAAAAACTATTCGCGTAATTAATTCCTTGCTTTTCGCAGTACGAAATGAGTCTGCCGATTACAAAGAACACAAATGTGTATTTGATGTACACGAGAAACGTTTCCACACTACAGACGGTCTGTTCTTTATTATGAAATGTGACCCCAAATTTTAAAGTTTTATTGTTTTTTTTACCTAGATACAGGTATAAGGATTTGTCACGGCATGCGCAGAAAATGTAATTAAAAACTAGCAAAAATTACCACTTTTTTTTATGCACTTGAAAGATAGAACGTGGTAAATAATTTATTTATTAATTATTCTTTATTATTACTATTTATTTATGTATTGTTCTTTATTTAAGCTTAATTAAAATAATATATTTTTCCAAATTTATCAGTTATTTCAAATCTTATTAATTTTCATGTATTTGTATTATTTATTATTTAAGCTTAATTAAAATAATTTTATTTCAAGTTATCATTTATTTTTTTTAATTTTACCAACTTTTATGTATTCATATTTTACAATTTACAACTCCAGTGCTGTGCATTATGAAATGTTCTCGATAGGAGAGAAAGGGAAAGAGAGAGATTTACATTTTGCATTTTTCAAATCTTAACAGATAAAATTCCCAGCTAAAATAAAATTTCCGAATTACAATACGAATATTTAATAAATGATGCATGTACAAATAGTTTATATAAGAATATTCTACAATTTTATGTAGTTTTATTTGCGCGTATATATAGGGTGTATATATTTTAATAATCTAAACTTTATAAGAATATAAAACTTCATGGATTAAATACAAACTCAAAATGAACAAACTATGCGAACTCAACGCAGATGTTTGTGAATAAATCTCAATTCGAGATTTTAATTCCTATGTTTTCTTTTGATTTCCCTACAAAGATGTAGAAAAGCAAAATATATCGGTCCAAAAGTCGCTGAATCGGAAACTGAGGAATTAAAATTGAGATTCTAAAATTGAGATGAATTTGCAACATCTGAAATTATGCTAATATCATACAAAATCTAATATCAATTATAAGTTTTTATCGTCTTCTTCAATACAAAAGAATTATGTATATTTGAAAATATAAAAATCATTGTCTTTTATTAACATACCTATTTATACATTCGCATCACACTATCGATTATATAAGTTTCAAAATAATAGATATTAATAGATGGCAAATTTATTACGTCATATTTCGCATATATTGAAAGTGTTAAAAAAAGTTATCAAATTAGGTAATTTTTTTATTTTAATTTTTTTATTTATTAATTCTTTTGCACGAATTCAAATTGTTGCAGTCACAAAATTTTCTTACTTTATTATTTATATTAATTAATACAATAAATATCGCAGAAAGATAATAGCTATATTTTATTCATCGTTGATTCTCAATTGTCGAACATGTATGTATATATGTATATGTCAATAACATTCTATTATTAATTTAAATTTATTATGTTGGTCCGAATCTGTAGATTGATCTGTAGGATTATATATTATGATAATTTCTACAGCATATTTCACGTTTTCATTTATATGTTCTACTAATTAAAATAAGACAGAAACTGTAAAATTTTTACTTTGATTGATTTTTGTGAATAAATGCCTCAATAAACACTTAAAACACGTAAAATTATAGAAAATTGTAAATTATACATAATTGTTATTTGAAAATATCTCACAATGCTCTTTATTTTACAATGGTATATACTAATATGCGATTATGTTAGCGCGCGGATGTTTTTTACACATTACAATTCACTTGGATTAATCCCAAATTGAATATTCTATGGTTTCTTATAAACTCTCCAATTAAAGTTTTTATCATGTACGACATCTAAAAAAGTTAATTAA